ACAAGTAAATTGGCATTAAAACAGAAGTCAGACAGTTTTCCCAAGAAGGCCACTTCTGTGAAAGCTGCATTAACAGAAGGAATCATGTAAGCTTTTCAGTCTTACTCTGCCAAAATAACAGTATAGTTTATAACTAAAGCTGTGGTTAGATATGATTTATAACCAAAACTATAATAGTTTTACCTACAGGACAATAAAAGACAGAAAAATTAACTAGGTGGGTAGTCATACCAGTGGAGCATGCATTTAAAGCAGCACAGTTTCTTTTCAGCCAGTCAATTACATTTGAGTTAACCATAATAGCCCAGAAAATCACACTTAGAATATCATTTAGAGAATATCAACACTGTATGATCACCTTTGTTCCAGCTTTTGACTGTGTATTCATATAAATGAAAATAAACATTACCAAATTTCAGGAAAGAAAAAGCTGGAGATTATGCTAGTTTATGCTAATGAAATCCGAGCAGTCCCTTTATTGACACAGATAAAATTCAGCAGTATTTATTAAAGAAATTAAGAGAAAGATTCTGATGGATTCTTGCTACCATGAAGAGAAAGACATATGATTAGTTTATACATTACTTTCTATTTTGTGAAGCAAAACTATTGATTTCTAGAATAAATATATCAATCTCCAAACAAAAACTACTAGATGGCAAGATGAATTTAAAAGCAGGGGAAGAATGATCATGGTTTATTCATCTTTCAATGAAAATACAGTCTATTGACTGTATTTTCTAATTTACAAGAATATGAACAGATTTATGAATTAGGTTTAAAATGAATTCTAGTGAAGTCATTAGAGGTTTTCCATTTATTGTCAGTAAGAGCAGAAAAACGCCCAATTTATTATATATTTCTTCAAAACACAGTAACTAAGGCTAATATACACACATCGAAAACAAGTTTTCCAGCAGAAACAATAGTTTTCCAGCAGAGAAGAGTAGATAGAACCTGCGGAAATTCTACTGTGAAACTGCCATTTCTCCCTCCTGGGCAGCAAATATGAAGCAAATGCAATCAAAACAAACAAGAAAAATGAAGGAGTTAAATAAAAAAGGAACATTATTTTACTATCTGACCCTAACTTATTTAACAGTATATAAAGAATCTGTTGAATCTTCAAGTCAACTATGGTTAACAGAGTAAAATAAGCTTCTGAATACCTTTCTTTTCCAGAACTTAATCTCTTCTGCTGAAGACATTTTAGAGATGCTATCAGTTTTGTGCAGATTCAGCTGTTAGGAAATTCACTTAAACATACTGAGAAAATAATTCTATGAAACTACTGAAGTATGGCTTCTGGGTGGCTTCAGATTGTATATAGACCAAAACTAATTTAAAGCCAGGTGCTGGCTGATGTTTTCTAGTTCTGATAAAAAAGAAATACCTCATCTTTCAAAGCTAAGAATACATTTATGTCATTTCCTGAAGGATGACAGCAGAATGATTAAGATGGTCAGTGCAAGTTGGTCTGTTCTGAAATATTTACCTCTGAAGGTATATTACCATTAATTAGAGTAAAATCTCTGCAACAAATCCTTTGAAGTCTTTTCTTTAAGAAAACTTTGAAGGCTTTTTTAAACTGTGATATAGCTCAGCAACCAGAACTGAGTAGTGGGTTGACATCAACACTTACTCTAATAGCCCGCAAGCTAAAGGTCATGGCTCAGTACGCTAATGCCAATGTCCACAAACATGTCATGAAGCCATGTCCTCTGCAAAAAGTACACAAAAGACATTCTAAAATTAGTGTCTCTTACACTGATATTGAGGAAATATAGTCCTGCATTTGACCTCAATGTTTTGTCTTCTAGAATATTAGAGTAACAAGTAGAGAAGAAGACTGATATAAACATATAAGGTGTAAACAACAACAAAAAATTCCTTCAAGTAACATTAAGATTTTTGAACATAACCACCAGTACCTTATCTGTGGTCCCACGAGGTCAAAGGGCATGTTAACTTGCTGCTCAAACTCACACTCAAAGCAAGAACTTCTACATTATTCCAACTACCGAATGTCGCATCCTGCTTTAGCTCAGGTTTTCTACAAGCAGGATGGTCTTAACCAAATTAAGTAACATGGCAGTGCAGTTATGAGGCTGCTCAGCAGATCATTTCTAAATATCTAAGAAAACCTCTCAGATTCTTTAAAAAGGAAGAAAAAGAAAAAAAATCACACCCATTATTCTAAGAATACAAGCTCATGACCTCTGGACATGCTCAGGTCCCTACTATTCATCAATTTATCAAAGCTATTTCAAAGAAAAACAGATTTTCAAAAAAATACAGTGTACATTCGTATGCCCAATGACTATGAAAAGAAAGCTTTAAAATATTTGATTACTGCTTTTATAGTTTTGTAATCATTTGAGAAAGAAGGAGCTATCGATCTCATGACCCATGGTGAAAACTTGAAGTGGTATATGTGAGGACAGAAAGCAGCATTTTTGTTTGTTTGTTTCAGATATGTTTTTCTTTTCATTAAAAATGACATGAAATAATAACATCTTTGCTAAAGTAAGACTAAGTTTTAAAATAATAGGCAAACTGTCATAAAAGAAATAAACAAAGGAAGAAACAACCTCCCTGAAACAAACAAACAAAAAAACCCCCGTAGGTTCCTTAAATCTGAAAGATGAATTAGTTTGAAAATGTCGATGACTTTTAGATATTATACCCAATCTGTTTGGAAGCTTGTCAAATCCAAACATATGTCATTCCAAAGTCACTTTCAGTTACAATATTTTTGCATAATTGTACAGTACGGTGGCACCTCCAATAGCATCTATTTTACATAGGTAAGGGTGGAAAATTATGCGCAAAGGTAGCCAAGCAGGGATTAAATGGGCTTAGTTTCATTTGGTGCATGACTGGCTTATACATACAATTTCCATTAATTATATGTTAAATCCTCTGGCACAGACAGTTCAGTAGAGTCACCCTGAAGACAGTAATCAGAAAACTACTGTACCATGAAAACAGTGAAATGTACACGGGCGATGAGGCAGGGGAAGGAAAGTTTACAGCAAAAGACATTCAAACATGCTGCAAAATGATAAAGGAAAAACCCGTAAGACTGGACATTAAGCAATTTATACCTAAGTATTCCCAAAAGAAGTACTTTACTACAATATGCATGGATTAAATAATTAGTGATGCTTCAGCCAGACCACAAGATGCTGTCCGCCCCTCTTTGCTATACTATGTCTATATATACTGCCCTATATACTCAGCTGATCTCAACTGGCACCTCCTGCTGTACACATATTAACTTTAACTTGATGTCCACAAATGTGACTTCCTTCAGTTGGACATTTTTGCTTTCTAGCTGTATTGTATTTTCCAAAAAAAAACAAACAGCCACAGCTATGATTTATATGGTCCAGTGAATATACCCTTCAACACAGGGGCTACATCTTGGCAAACGGGGACACAGCAGCCCTTGCAGGCACTCTGCCATCAAGGCAACACTGAACGAACCTGCACTATCTTTTTATTAGGTACAGCCAGCACTTCTAGCCCTGGCTCTGAAGTCTACCACATATTTCTCCACTTGTTTTTCCTGCTTTGATGCCTCTGAGCATTTCCATAGGATCTTCTCCAACACTCCAATATCCTCAAACATGTAATACTACTCACAATGGACTATTCATTCATTCCTGCATCCTTCTCTGACACCTCCATCAAATCTGCTATCATAAATACCAATTTAGCTGAATACAAGCCCACTAATGACAAGCACTTATGCTTTTGGAAAGGATCACCCTCTCCAAGGCTACGGTGACTCTACTCCACTCCCCTTACATTTGCCATGACATCTGTAGCAAACAGCACACTGAAAGATACAGACTACATGAGCTTCTGAGATATATCTTGTTTTCTTATAATTTAAAAGGAAATCTCTATAGACTTCAGATTCTTCAATCTATGTATGTTAAGTCTAGATAAAAACATGTTGCTTTCACTGCTACTCACTATTCTATTTAAGTATTTTTCTATTTCTTCTTTTTGCGCTTAAATTGAAATAGTAAAGCAATTATTACAAGCCCTCTGTCTCCATGACATGCATTGCTATCACCTGGGTGACAGGAGGCCTGACAGAACTCTACAGGGAATACAACACTTGATAACACCAAGAAATCAGATAAATACATTTCAACTTAAAATAATCTTATTCACTGCAAAATAAAATTAAGAACAAAGGTTTTAAATGATATCATACACTCAGGAACATTTGACATAGTTGATAGAAAAAAAATCCAAGGCACATACTGTTACAGTAAAAAATATAAATAAATTACTAAACAGAGCCACTGTATCATTAGAACAATGTAACTATACATTTTAAATGAAGCACAGATGTAAAGAAGAACGAACTGGCACAGACAATCTATAAGAGTGTTCACGTCTGTACTCCTTTTGTTAAAACAAACACAATATTAAAAATTAAAAGAACCTTTGTAATTTCACCACAAAGCCATGATCTAACTGTGTGAATATGTTTAAGATGTGATAATACTATTATTATTATATTAAATACATACATTTCAGGTAAAAGAGCTAACACATGCATACATAATCTTTTCTATCATTCTCTTAATATTGGGTACATTTTACATGAAATCTAGAATTGCATTTATTAAAAGACACCTGCCCTCTGCATTGTGAGAGCCCATGCAAGGCATGAAAACATTGCTGGGGAAACTGAAAGGTCTGGTTAGGAAAGCCAACTCTTATGCAGCAGAGCAAAATCACGGTGAAATTCCATCTGTAAGAATTGCATAGTTTAACGTATTACTTACTATTGTTACTCAAATCTTCTCAGACACTATGTGGTCATTACTGTCCTGCAGACACTTACTTCAACATGCAGGGTAAATGCAGCTAATAAGCATAATTAGCTCAGACACTGTATCTAATTTAGTTTTGCACTAATGACTAATTGCCTACTCAGCGAAGGGGAAGTGTAACATTTTTTTTAAGATGCTTACCCGAGGGCCCTGATCACCTTGATCTCCCTGCAAAGTGGAAAGATGAGATGATAGGTTTAACACAGCATCTGTGTGCTACCCAGCTCTCTTACATAATCTAACATTACACTGCGTCAACATAAACTGTGTCTTTAGTTCATGCTGGGCGGGCTTTCCATTCACTTTGTAGGCATCACCCACACGTCAACTCACCTTCTCTCCTTTTGGACCAGGAGGGCCCTGAAATAAACAGAAAAAAAAAATTAAATTGGTAACTTACTAATCCTGATAAAGTCCTGGAATATTGCAAGAAATCCGTGATTTGTTCATGACAGTATAGTTCCTTACAGTTTTCCATGCCAAATGCTGAGGGTATTCCGGGGACTGCTTCTTCACAGTATTAGCAATGGGCATTGCATGGTTAATTCTTGAATAGTGCATTGGCCCCGTGTGTTGAATCAGATTACTTGGAGAAGCAAAGCAAAATTCGTACTGACTTCAATTAGGGACAAGAGTTTATCTCGTATCAGATAATAAATGTTTTCTAAGACTATAAAACTTCTTTGCAAGTGAAGTTAATAAATTTAGAAGCTTATAAATCTGCCATGTGTTTTGGCACCCTTCTTAGCTTAGATTGCCAAAGAAAAATGGATTAGAAATTCTAAGAGTAGCATTTTTATTCCTATCTTTGCGAACATCAAACTGAAGTTGATGTTTAGTCTGAGCATGCTGTTTTAGGTAAAATGAGCTCTTTTATGAGAAATTTGTATAGTGTGATTTTGCAGAAATAAGTGATTGTTATATACCATCAGAAAACCAAACCAAAACAGTACTACAGAGGAGAGCATTACTATTCTTATTAAGAACCTTCACAGAAAGCTCCTACCAGGTTTCTACAAAACCAGTTTTCAGGTCAGTGTCTTATGAGTAAAAACGCTAGCAGCCTGCAGAGACCTGGCGGTTACACAGTGCAGACTCTACCTCCAGCTTTCTGAAAGATATGCAGGTGTTTCATTACAATGGAGCTGAGGTATATATGAGAACAGCTGCAAGCAAAGAGAAGGAGCCATTCGAGTCAGCAGGGCCAATGTTACAAGAGGAAGCAGGCATCCACCTGAACACGTGCATGAGTGTGTGTGTGTAAGGGGGAAACAACAAGAAAAGCAAACAGCAACCCAGTTAGAGATGAGAGCAACCTTGTTGAGCTGAGCATACGGGGACCACTTCACAGTTCACACTAGCAAAAACTTCTGTACACACAAATGCAACTGGAAGAGAGGTAGGTCTGCTGTTTATCAAAGATGTGATGAACCACATGCTCGTCTTTCAGAATTCCTCCTGTAGCCAACTTTCTGCTCATTTTTAAGGGCTTCTAATGCATGCCAGAGAAAGGCATCTGCTGCTAAATCTTTCAAGAAGCTAAAGCATATGCCTCTCCTTCCCCAGCCTGCCATCTCTCCTGCTTGCCGCAAAGGCCATGAAAGCAAGTCTGCTGCCTGACCTGCCCCAGCTGCTTAGGGAAGGACAGTGCTCCCCACGAGCTAAGTGGGGACCATCTGCTCAATTAATGGTGCCCCCTGCCCCTTCGCACTGCCATGCAGGAACCTTTGCTCTAATAACCAACTAAACAAAACACTTACTAAATGGCAATGACCCTGTGGCGCCTTTACGTTCTCTACATCAATGCTTTTTTTCATACATCATTCCCAATCGCCCCTTTCCACGCACAGGTTTAAATATATACAGCGGAAACTGCATATGGCATTTTCCACTGTTCGTGGCTGATTCCCTGGATACTTTGACAGGACGCCATTACATTAAAAGTGGGCACATTTTCAGAAGGCCCACTTTAAAACTTGCACAGGACATCCAATTTGCAAGTTCTCAGGCAAATTTATACCAACAGTAACACATTAACTACAGGAAGATAAGAATTAAAACCACTGAATGCTGATTGTTATTGCTTTCATACAGGAAACACAGAAAATAAGTAAATGCTGTGGCCATGCTCTGTCTCCCTAAATTACCATCTTGTTTCTGACTATGAACATCTTATTGCAAATTGCAAATAAATTTATTTCTTGGGTCTTAGACATGAAAGTATAAATCAAAACCAAGAGAGCAGACAGATGTTGTCTTGGGATCTTATTGTGATGATGGGAGATTTTAGTGCCCTCATCCAGATGCTCAACACCACTCATGCCCAAGGACAGGCTTTGGCTCAGGGCTGCCCTCCACAACTGAAGTTGATGCAAACTACAGCAGCAGAGATCAAGAAGCTACTCACATTGAGCCAGCTTGCCGGCGCTGAGATGAGCTGGAGGGGGGCTGGCCAGCCAAGCATGGGACTACTGGACCTCTCCCTAAGAGTTCTCTGATGGTACAATCCATCCCCCAAACACATTTTTTAATATGACTGAATTACATATTTTTATTCTCTTCTCCCTTCTCTGTGTAGAGTTTTTGAAAAATAACCTGTGTACATCATATTTGGACATTTGTTTTTTTCATCATTCTTCCCCATTGGGCAAAACCAGTAATTACAACCTTTTGATGTTTCCTCTCACCGAGTCCTACAAACTATTGTCTCTATTAAGTTGCCCTTTCAGTATATAAGTTTTTCATACAAAGTCTTCATCACTATATGACAAATGTATTGTAGAGAAGCTAGAAACAGTTTTTCAAAAGGCTACAAGAGCATTTATAGTGTGAACAGTCTTGCAAGTCTCTGCACTTGCATTTGCAACACTTTTGCTTTCCACTAAGGGTCTTAAAAATACAAAAATTTCCAAACAAAAATAGCCCTCTTAGATACTAGTGAAGAGACTCAGTGGGGTTTAATCGAAAGAATATTAATGCAATTCTTTCATGGCTTGTTCACCCATCTCTGGCTCTTCTCCCACTGTTCCAATTGTTCTCTATTGTGTTCGCAATTTTAAAAAAGAAAATTCCTATCCGTACCCTTTGACATCCTCTTCCATTTATGCTGAGAAATTCTCCCAAGGTCTTGCTGCAGAATTTATTAGTGTCTGTACACAGACTGCGGGAAGGCAGGAAAGAAAATCTAAGCTAGGTTTGCAAGGGTGGAGTGAATTAGGAGACTGATTTGTTTAAAGGAGGGCAAAGTGTCTTCTGTTTAAGGGTACAGACACAAAGAACAGAGTGAGTAAAATAACACTAACTTTGCAGACCATAGTGTAGACATCCTGCCTTTTCTCCCAAGGAGATTTCTGTGCTTTCATTTGTGAGATGGCAGAGATCAAGCTGCTAGGTGCAGCACAAATGTGAAAGCACTTCATGCAAGCTATATGAACCGGCTGAGGTCAGAGCATTTCTGAAATAACTTTACAGTGTTTTCACTGGAAACAGAGGCTCTTTTCTCAAAGCATAATTATCTACCCTAGACTACTATACATTTCTAAAGCAAGTTTATAGCCTGTTTCACATAAGTAAAGCCTTGTAAATCACAAACACCTGCAATATCTGCATTCATAATTAGGCAACAAATACTACTGTTTTCAAAATAAGGTCTTCTAAACCTGACTGAAAGGCCTCCAGGCACCTGAAAGCCAAAAAAACAAAGCTGAAATCAGGGTGAGGTCCATGTTCAGGCAGGTGCTTTTTTTTCTTTCTTTCAAGAAGGAAGTTATCAAAATCCTAATTCCATTTTCTGATGAAATCCTTACATTACTATAAATAGCTGTACAAGGAATAGTAGGACAGGAACACATTGTACTGGAAAACATGAAACCAATTCTTGTGGTCTTTGCTCAGACAATATTCCTATTAAGATTAACTAAAAATTTATCTAAGTATGAATAATATGATTTTTCACACTCACAAAAATATAATTCATTAATGGAAAGGCACCAGTTTTTGAATTCTGCCCTTGCAGTCACTGCCACCTTTGTAGTTTCCTGACAGCTATATTCAGAGAATCTCCTCAGAAGCCAATATTTGATTTATAACATTTTTATAAACCTTCTGGAATGTAAAATGATCTCTTTTTTATAAACATATTCCCGTCCCTATAAGTCTACCTCTGTAATACAGAAAGTTGCTACATGACTTATAATAGAGGCCCCAGCCACTGAAGGGAAGTGGAACTGGGGAGAGCAAGGGATACTCCTGCGTGGTAGGAATGTTCCTAGGTTATGCAGAGAGCTACCACAGGAGTGCAGAGGAATGCCTAGTTAAAGTTTTCAGTGACTTGCAGTAGGCCCGTGTCCCTGCCAGCGCCTAGGGCAAACAGATTGCAACAGGTCGCACAATGGCAGCACCATGTCCAGCAGGGTCCGCCCACTTTTGGTCCTCCTAGAGAACCCGAGCTCTTAGGCCGTGGCAGCTCAGTCCAGGCAGCTACTACAGAAGACACAGGCACCTCTTTGCTACGGAACAGCCACAGCTGTGGGCTAAAGCATCCTGGTGGTTGGAAAGCTGAATCCAGCAAGCAATCCAGCATGCGGGGTTTGCTTTTGTTTAGGATAAAACACCATACAGTGCATTCACCTCTATAAGCATTTACTGCATGCCCTGTAAGTATGTAGGTGGTGGCACAAGCAAGGGTGGCCTTGTGGAAAGCAAGAGAAAAGCAAATCAGGCCTTTGAATCTAGTCAAATTCAACAAGGAAATAAATTTACCAACAAGACTTAAACATATTTTCACAAGTAAATGACATCTAATACATTGCTACATTTATTCAACATTTAACAACTGTTCTGTTTTAAGTCAAACTTTTCTTTCATTGCAGTTTGGCTCATGGCTTTCATCTCTATCAAATTACAAGTTCCTGACTCTGGAATTACCTTTACCTAGTTCCCCGCTTAACCCCTAGTCATTGCAAAACATGAGGATCAAATAAATTGAATCATAAGATATGAAGTTACAAGAGTATTAAGAATCACAACATACTTCAAACTTTCTGCATCCATTTTAGTCTTATGTCCCCACTTTGCATGCCTTTGAGCTATGCGGTTTTGGCCTTTACTAAAATTATCCATGCTTGCCGCCAGTGTCTACAATTGTTAGTTTACTGTGTCAACATCTCACATTGCAACAAATTTACAAATGCTTGCAAGAATTTCCAGTAAAGCTGCACAGCTTCTACATGTTAAATTCTATTCCCTCCTCTTTCACATTCTTCCCCAGGATATGACTGGCCTAAGGTAATGCCCTGGAAAATAAACAAACAAAAAAATTACAACACCAAAATCCTCTGTTCTCCTTATGCTCTGTAGTT